GGAAGCACTGTCTGACGCGTCTGCCTCCGCGACCCGAAAGGAGAAGCGGCGATGGAAGATGATGAAGATGGCTGAAGCAGACATCTTTCGATATGAGTGGAGTTAGGTATCATAATGTCCAACGACATCCTGCACACAGTCTAAACTGTCGAAGCATGTGAATTTTGTCTTATGTGAAAATCCGTATTGTAAATCTGTCATATGACACGCAGTACGATTTTATTCACATAACGAATGTTGTGTTTATGTGGCAACTTTGAAAATACCAATGCTAATAGCCGTTCCGTTCGAATATCAGCTGTTCTGACTTTTCCATGCCTGGGTGCCATCTGTGATGTCTTTCACTGAGCTATTTCTGTAGCCAATTATCCAATTCATTGTGTATTGTCACATTTCCTTACGTCGAAGTATCATTTGTTTGCCTGTTTATCTCAGAAGGCAGAAGAGCGTGTGACTCAGCCGCTGAGACTCGAAGCTGGGACGTTCTGTCGACTTTACACAGAGGAACGCGGTTTACAAGCAAGACAAACAATATTTACCTCTCTTGCCTTCATTTTCCTATGCTGCCCCTTTTTCAAGTGAATTCGTTTTTCTAATGACAACTTCATGTAGCGTTAGGCATTTCAAGTAAGTCATGCGTTTCCGAAACAGTCTATACCATTTCAGGTATCATTTTTTTCTATATTGTAGATGCATAATGTTTCTTTGTTCTTCTTCCTGGACCCTCGCGTCGATCCTTTCGATAGGAGTTTTGGAATCAGATGTCATTTCTTGAACAGATATGTCTTAGAGACCTAAGAATATTAATTAATCAGTGGCTAAGGGGAATGCATTTCATTGCACGTTGCCCTGCAGTCGACATTCATCGGTCGGATATTGCCGTGTTCTTCACTACTTGGATGCCCGTTGCAGGTTTTTGGTTAAAGCTTTGTTTTTCACTGTCCTTTTACTCCATCTTATACGTATAATCGTACATGTTGGAGCTGAGTGAAACTCGTCATATCTTATAGGTTAGTCTTATTATTAGTTCATTATCGGTTTCGCCTACTTAA